TTCTGCATTGCTGTACTATTTAGATAATATTCTTGGTTGGTTGGTTTATATCGTCCTATCCTCTTCTGGGAGTCCCAAGTCGCTTATACGCCTTACCACCGCTTAAATGTGTAAGCCTTGAATATATACAATCTCTTTTATCATCAATTGCACAAAACTTTCTCAGGTCTCTTGCTATTCTTGGTGCGTGAGGTCCCATGAACATTCTCCGATTGAAGAAGCCAAGTTGTCCTGACCGAGCAATAGTAAAAAGCTGGATTCTGAACTAGGCTTAGAAGGTGACATTCTCTGCGGTATTGTGCACCAATTTGATCCGCTTTTATTTAGCTGATGGTGAATCTGTTCACGATGCAACAAAGTGAAGTCTACGAACTCGTCAAATAGACAAGTGAAGTTAATCCCTCTATAGCCGTTCTGCTGAAAACAGCCTATCTATTTACTCTTTACCCCCTTATTCCATTGCCGCCCTATCATAACTTCTCACATGTTTACATTCCACTCGTCAAAATGTGTGCCCTTTTGTGGAAAACCGAGTGTGACCTCATCACGCTTGCTATTTACCCCGACCCCTCTTTTCCGATCGGCTGACCCGACTCGGGCCTCCAATCCGGATCGCCTCATTGTCTCATAGATCCGGTCCTTATCTTTCTGGTTGACCGATTTCACTTGGTTCCAGTCCCAGTTTGCATTTCACTCCATCATTTCCAGCATACTAAATGTTTGAGAATGTACCATGTCCACTGTCTGATGCTGGGAATCATAACAACTACTATGACAGACGACTTCGGACTAGGTGCGTTCTACTAAGTCTCCCTGACAACAAGACCAAGTTGCGACAACGGGGTCAACCCACTTCTATAAATCGAAAGGGGACTGCGACCATACAAGAGGCCACAACATCTTGGTCTTCATATCTTCAGTACCAATGTAAGTTTATTATCTAATCCCATTGTGTCTAGGTGTAGTAGTTGCCGTCCAAACTCAAGTTTATTTAGGTTTCAAGGCCTGTGCTTCTGGCGTGACTTTGCTTTCGTTTCAGCTTCGACCTCAGCCACTTAGTGTAACTTTAGAGTCTGTCACTCATGTGTTTGTAAGGTGCTTATCAAACTTTCCTACACTAAGCATCGTCCATATACCGCCAGTGATCGAGGTCAAACTCTGGTCTCTGTATCACTGGTTCGTCCATAGCCTGACCTAGTTTGTGCCTCAGGATTATACGAAATAAGACCCAGGCGAATAAGCCAATCTAAGGTCCAGAATGATGTGAAACGCAGCCTGGTCAGGATTAATGCCACCTGGAGCGAATAAAGTTACTACACTTGATTCTCTGAACGCACTTTGTTAACCCTCGAAGTTAGTACCTAATGCACCACACTGTCGATGGAAGTAAGGCTTAGCCAATTGCCCAAGGCGAAAATCACATTATGAATCTAGACTACTACCTCATTTGAATTATGGTATGCCATGGCTACTCTTCATAATAAGTTAAACCTGACTCATGCTACACATATCTTGTACAAATTTTTTTTCTGATTGCTTACTTCTAGGATGATCTTGGTCTCATGCGGGATATACGTGAGGGAGATTTGTAGTTCTCCGTAGATAAACCGGGTTCCTGGCACCCTGGAGAGGTGACGCCACCCACTCACTGAGCGAATCACCATCTGCTTCACATGCAACTCGTCCTGCTTCGCACCACAACTGGGGTCGATCGTCTGACTTTCCGAGCCTGTCTTCAGCATCGGCAACTTCATATCTGATGCCTTCTCGTCATTATCAGCCATGTTCGTGTTGTAGGACTGTTGGGGTGTTAGGTGTTGAGACACGTTTACATGAATAAATTTGATTTGGGATAATGCTGGAAAGAAACTCAAGCCTAGTTGGGTGTCTTTCCTCCCAGGCAGACGGGCGTATCTATATGTAAGGGAAAACTGGATTTCCAAATGTCCCCAGTGATTTGGTGCCATTAGGTTGGTCAAGAAATTCGCCGGAAACCGCTTATATGTGGGAAAAAGTCTCCGACTCGCTGTTTTATGGCGCCAATTGGCCCGTGCTAAGCTGTCCTGGCGTGACAGGCGTCTTCAGAGTGGGAAAGTATTTTTTGACAAGTTTTGCCAAATTCCTGGATTTGTGTTTATTCAACTTTCTTGTTTACTAGTTTCTCATTCTGACAGTGTCTGTCACGGAGGGACAGATAAATGCCTACGATTTCCGATGATGCCATTCTATGAATCTACTTCGTCTATTTACATGCGCAGTTCTATGCCCATTTGGGCCCACTCGCCATAGAGTTAAACCCTTGCAATTATT